ATAAAGTTTAATGCCTTAGCGTTGTACAAAAATCTGGCACGCAATCAGATAAGAGAGTGTGTAGCATTCATAGGAGACACCATTATTTTTACGTGGAAAACATCTGAAAAGGGGGAAAAACCACGGGGGCCTAGCCCAGTTTGAATGAATCCACTAGTATTACAGTTGATTATAGATGGGCCCTTCCTTGGGAGAAGGCCTTAGCTTGATGTACATTTTATAGAGTACATTACATGATGTGAATACAAAGAATCACTATTGACGTGTTCGTTTGGCCGGGATGACCATAGTCTGGTGACGGAGGTCAGAAAGACTGTAATCTGCGGACGACGTAAGTCAGGAGGACCGTAGTCGGCTGGCAACGGAGGTCGGAAGGACTGTAGTCGGCGGAAGATGGAGGTCGGAAAGACTATAGTCGGCTGGCGACGTAAGTCAGAAGGACCATAGTCGGCTGGCGACGTAAGTCAGAAGGACCATAGTCGGCTGGCGACAGAGGTCGGAATGACTATTGTCTAACGACGAAGGTCAGAAGGACGGCGTCAGATATAAGTCCAACAATGGAAAGAAATCCATCTTTGGATAGACATCCAGTGAAAGTCCAATAACCGGTAGAAGTACGGCGTCGGGTAGAAGCTTGGCAATGAGTGAAGGTCTGGCGTCGGGTAGAAGTCTGACATCTGTTGGTGGTCGAGGAGAACTCTGGTATTACTTGGGCGGAGTTTCGGCGTCAGGAGGGAATTCTGTCGGTACTTGGGCAGAATTTCAGCATCCCGTGGAAGTCGGTCAGAATTTCTGGCGTCCCGTGGAAGTCGGGCAAAATTTCAGTGTCTCGTGGAAGTCAGGTAGAAATCCGACGTCATTTGGAGTTTGGACGGAACTCCGTCGGTGGTCGAGGAGGGGTCTCTTCCCTCATATTCTTCTCTTCTCCTCTTCCTCTTGCTTGGGCCCCTCTCATGAGAAATGAGGGGTTTATTTATAGATTTTCTCGAGTGTCATGGCCTGTAAATAGGTGAGAGAACAGGGGTGAATCGGGAGTGGTTTGAATGAATGACCGATATTGAATCCCTTGATCGTGGACCATTCATCAGACATTTGAAGGTCTTAATGATATCATAATTCAGTAATCTTGGGCTCATTGGATTCGACTCGTCGAGCCGCTCGATTCGATTATAAGCACATCATATTTGAAAACCATTTGGTAACTCAAATTGTGGTTCGAACCTTCCAACAACGCTTCGGGTCCTTGATTTGGACTTATTTTG